GAATACCCAGCTGACCTGCTGCTGCTCAAAAGAGCTATGGCTGCAGCTGAAAAACAGCCCACCTCTTGCAGTTTCCAGTAACAAGCCCATTAGCAATAGCTGGGAAGACCACTGTGGAATAAGAAATGAGTTTGTCTAGGAGGGTAAGCCAGACATTTATATGTATATATGTGATGTCTGTATGTGTCTTTTACTACTTGCTTCCTTCCCATCTCCTCTTGGCTATTTATATATGCAATATATAACATGTACTGTGGCAAAAGTCAGCTGTGCATGTGGTTTGGGGACGGCACTGGCCCAGGCTACTTGCTCTGATGCCTGGCAGCATTTCATTCTGCTGCTGAGAGAGACAAAATACGGGACTAGATGGTTTGACCCAGTAGGGCATTTTGTATGCTCTTATACTAGTTTGTTTTTACAAATCCTTACTTACAAAGCAATCTTCTCTCATATAAGTAGCTTTGAGCACTCAGACAATACACGATTCTTTATCTGAGCATCAGGTCCACATCTTTTATAAAACAAAATGGGTCACAGTCATTTTTCTGTAAGTCTTTCAATCAACAGATCTACACCAAAGGTGAATCTGCTTTGATGGTTTCAAGAGGGAAGCCTGCTTTTCTGTGCCAAATACTTTGTAGCCATTTTTAAAGCTTATAATACCCAGGTATTCTACACAAAAATGGTGCTTATTTTCTCGGCAAAATGGGAGAATAGCAGCCTTATTTAATGCAATCCCTGCAACATCTCTTCTGAAACTCAGACAAGATTCAGAATTGCTCACGGTTCCAGTTCTGAGCGGTTTGCTGAGTTTTGAAAATCTGACACTCAAATCTTTCTTTGCTTTTAATTTAGCTTTCTCCCCCTTTTTATATGGAATTTGTCAAAATCAAGGCAATAGCTTTTAAAGTATTTTCAGAGAGAAAACTTGATGGCTTTTTTCTATCTAGTCATGAAGTCAGGAAAACAGAAATACAAAGTGAGCAAGAAGACAGACACTGGAGCAACATATAGTTCCATTCCATAAGCAGGCAGAGAAGTAAGTTTGTGCCATGAGGAAGCTTTATCTTCATTAGATACCAAAGGATACCATTCCATTAATGGCAGTATCAGATTTTCAGCTGTCCATTTGTACATTTGTTCATTTTCACACATTGGAGTAGTTGTACCTTGAATGTGAAAGTACAAGAAGTGCTAGAATCTTATCTTAAGCCTGATCATTTTTCCTCCTCTTTCCCACCAGCAATCCAAAGGAGCTGTGAGTTGCTTCATGCAGAGTTACCCATAAATGTGAAAAGTGAATCACAGAATCATAGAACAGTTAGGATTGGAAAGGACCTTAAGATCATCTACTTCCAACCCCCCTGCCATGGGCAGGGACACCTCACACTAAACCATGCCACCCAAGGCTTCGAAGAGACCACATATGTGTTCACCATCATTGAACGTAAGGTGTTTGGGACTTTAGTGTATTCTGCAGGTTTATAAAAGAAAGGGCAAAATGTATCCTGAATCTCATTGAAATTGATGATTAATATGTGAACACACAAAATTAATACATTGCCCTGATAGCAAGAAAAAGAAAAGAACATGATCTATGATTACCCTTGTACAGAACACTAGAGGCTATGTAGGGACACAGAGAGTTCACATTTCACATGTTCATATTTCATTTTTACATTTTACATTGATTATTAACTTTAAATAGTTTACAGTAAGAGAAGGAAAAACAATGACATGAATAGGAGGAAGAAATTAAATGACATATGCTGTATGGTTCAATATGCCAATGAAAGAATGTGCATGTTCTTTTTGTGTTTTAACTAACTCATGCAGGTGACTCTGAAACTCTCTTTTTTTCTTTTTTCTTTTCCCCAGGGAGGGGAAAAATGTAAGATATCTGTGTAAAATATATCTGTAGGCCAAGTAAGGAGGGTCTGAAAAACATCAACAAGGAAGCAATGCAGAAACAGCAATCTGAGTCAATGTTCAGTCAAGCCCATTAATTATGTAATTTGTTTTGTGCTGATGTAAGTAGATCCTTATTCTGAAGCAGCTTGTGCCCAGGGCAAAGGAGTGGATGAGACTGTTATGTTCCCACAGACAGCAGGTGATGGCGAGCTTCATCCAGTGAAGAGAAGGACAGTATGAGAGATACAAAACCTCAAACAGTCTGAAATTCAGGAGCAGTGGAGATACCCAAGGAAAGAGTATGGTCTTGAAGAGAATAACTTGTTTTAGAAGCATGTGTGTATCTGAATTTGACCCATCTTTATATCAGAGGAGAGAGCTGATATAAAAAGAAATTTGTGATGAAGAGTAGAATGCTGCCATCAGGCTATGGAAAAATGTCTTCACAAATTTATTACTTCTGTGCTGGAATTCAGAAACAGAGGAATGTAAAATCAAACTAGCTCACATGCTGCAACTATTAAAGTAGCTTTTTTAAAAAATAGAAATCATGTTTGATCTCTGCCTTGGAAGAAAAAAAAAGTCTTGCGCAGAAAGTTACAGAAAGTCCTGAATCAGATTCTATGGTCAGCAGCTCAAGTAGCTTAATATGATCAAAACTTCAGTTGAGTTTTTTCAGATGGGAGTTCAGATTCCTCTGTGTATATGTGACATTATGGAATAGCTGAAATGGAGGACAATGACAGCCAGCTTTGGGGCAGAACTCCAGATGAACCACTGTAAATCATGACCATCACTGGAGAATTAATTCCATTATGTCAGTTAATGTAAATATGAAATATAACACCAAATTAGAGATACTATTCAAAAGAAAAATACTTCAAAAAGTTCCTGGCTTCAGACTACTCATGGTCTGAACTGTCTCTGGTAGCCTGCTGTATGCTGCGCAAATCAGATAAATACGTATATAGAAGGCTTGCAATGACAGCCCGCTGGGTCTGAACAACTCCTCTAAGTCTGGAAAGGCAGATAGCATTTGAGCAGGCAGCAGCCTGGCAACTAACAAACAGCACATTACTCTGCATCTCGTAAATCTCCATGAAGTTTATTTATTTTCTTCTGAGAATGAATAACTAATGTGAAGCCTCTTCTTGCCAGTTATTGTAGCCCTACACAATGCAGTGGAAGCTGCTATTGATAGCAGTGAATGAGCTACTAATTGGATAGTTATGTAATGACATTGTTATGAAACCTAGTTTGGGTTTGACACCTTTTGTTTTCTAGAAACAACATTAAAACCCAAAAACAAATCCATGGTTAGTAGCATGTAGCATTTTTCATGTAGCATGAAAAACCAATTTTTCAAAACTCGGAGGACTACAAAGGATAAAGAAAAAAAATCATTTTTCTGAATTCTGGCAGAAATGAGCCGGAAGTAAATCATTCAACAGATCTGCCATTCAAAGGGATACTTTAAAGTAACTTTCTTTAACACCTGCCCTGCAAATACCGACAAAAAGATCAAAGTGGCCTGTTTCTGCAACTTGTGTAATCTCAGAAAGTTGGGCTTTTTTTCTATTTAAAAAAAAATGGATTTTCAATGAGTATAAACAACATAGTTTAAGGAGAAAGAACGACCAGAAACTCTGTGACACACACTGATACAAATCATGTACTAGGATTAGGCATGGATCTCTGCTTTTGTAAATGACAATACGGATATACCTATACTGACTTTCTAAGTTAAAAAAAAAAAGGGGGGGGGGGAGAAGAGAGAAACAGGTGGGGATGACATTTTGTTCTCTTCCATATAGAAGAGAAAATTGCCCTCCATTAGGAGAGAAGCTTTTATCTGAGGTAGCTGTTGCAGTGCCTCTATTCTTGGTTATTCTGAAGGCTGGGCATCACTAATGCAGTGTACAGCACCAGGAACTTACCCTCCTGATGAAACCCAACTACTGTCCTCCTCTAGTTCTGAAGATACTTTCATTTTGGTACACCAGTTGAAACAACATACAGAACATGTAAGAAAGATCCCTCCAGAGGTTTGCAGTTACATATGTAGAATAATATTTGAAGAGATCGCATAGCTCTAACACCTCTTGTTTTAATATGTGACCATGAAATTAGCTCTCAACATGCATGGTGCCAAGAACTGTTGTTTGATTGGTATTACAGATGGCTTACACCCTGACTTACTCAGCGCAGTATGTTAGAGAGGGTTTGTATCAGTAAAGGAAAACTCCAGCTCTAAACTGTTAAATCACCAGTGGAAGCCACCAAAGGGCTTACAGAAATCTGATGCATAATGTCCCAGCACCACAGTAATTAGAGCAAGCATGCCCAAAAAGCTGTGCTAGCATAGGATTCAGCAACTTTTTAAATGAGCAAGACATTATAGAGACCAAGGAGGAATCTGGGTGGTCCAGATGTCTTCCACGTGTATACAGTTAATTATCAAGAACAAGAATCTGTTATCAATTACATCTGTGTGTACACATATATATTTCTATCTCCAGACTATTAACTTTATCAGAATACTTCAGAATCACAATGTGGCAAGAAATACCAGAATCTTCTCCTAAAATAATCATGCTTTCCTGCTCCTACCCATCAGATGAAATGAGTTTTCTTTTAAATGGACCCCTTCACTAGAGGTATAGCTTGCCTGTATTGTTACTGCTCTTCCATACTCTCACCTGTATGAGAAGGAAGAGGGACATAGCAGCTCCTCTGAGTAGTAGCGCTACTTCCCATTTCTGTTTTGGTGGTACTGAAGAGTTCCAATAGGATACAAACTTACTTCATCACTCATTTCATTGTAGGACAGTTTACCAGACTTAGAAAGTTCACTCACAGTCCTACAATTTCTTAATTCTCAATTATTCTGACTTTATACTGCTGTAATTTTATATTTTTACAATACTTCCGTATTGTATTAGACAGTATTTAAAAAAAAATTGTCTAAATTTTTAAATATTGTTTACATTTTAAATACTTTAAAAATATTTGAAAGTTGTCTTTAAGTTACATTTAGTTTTTTTATGGGAAATTCTATCTTATGTCTGATGTCTCTTTTTTGCCCTCAGTAATAGTTTTTTTCCCACCCTTTTTCCACTGCCAACCTGCAGCGATAGTACACTGAGCTACAACCTGCTCTGTATATTCCTGCTGGTGAGTGCATGTAATTATTGTCTATTGATATCTGTTACCATTTTCTGCTGGGTTTATATAGACTTCATTTCATGTGTTGGTCATATTTTAATAGAGTTCTGGCATGTTACGCCAATGGCCAAAATTCATGGGATAAATGAACAGTCCATTAATTTCCAATGATAATTTTGCAGTCAGACTACTTGTTTGCATGGAAAAGTAGTTTATGTGCAACACTGCTTTGATGGTATTTTGGGATCTCATCTTACAAAGTGTTAAAAATCCAAACTGTTCCTGGGCCTTCCAGTGTTGTAATTGGAAGGAAGAAACACGTAGATATGTCAAGACTACAGCTGACTAAGGCTGGAACTGAGAAGCCTCCCGCGGTGATTAAGCTATTTAGGTGCTCTTTTCTCCTCTGTGTAATTAGCCATGGAAGATGGAATCACAGAGGAAAAGCAAGCTGAAGGAAAGAAGGTTTTCCAATGAAGAAACCAAGAACCTATTTCTTGTCAGGAAAACATCCAGGAAATATCTTTTTGTTTTTTGTCCCCTGGATTTTACTAGATCTTTTAAAACAAACCCAAAACTAAATAAATTGAAAGACCTTGCAATTCTGAATCAGAAACGTTCTCTAGACAGAATTCAGGGTGGGGGAGGAGTTTACCTACTGCTTGCATCAACTGGAGGAGACGATGTTGAATATTCACGTTTCTGATAGAGAATATTCATGTTATCTGAGTAAAACCCAGACTGTACATGAGTAATTCCTGTTGTTCTTAAGCTACTTAGCTCCTACAGTACACACTGTGGCTATCATTGCACTTCTGGTACTGTTCTATGCCAATTACCAGCACTACGAGTTGTGGAAAAAGTGTATTCAGGAAAAAAAAAACAAAAACAAAAAAAGACGAAAAAAGAAGACAGTTGATAAATTCTGGTAATTTGTGTTAAATCTGAATTTACAGACAAAATTACTACTAAAGGTATACATAAAGAATAAATGAAAACATTGCATAAGTCTGATCATTACTTAGGATATGACACACACGATATTTCATGCTAATTGTTCAAAAAATATTTACTTGAGCCAAAGCTTAGATACAATTAAGGAGATGAATTTTATTCAGCAAGTTTTTATGTCCTGTATTGGCCATCAATTTTGCTTGAAATAAAAATGATGCTAGCACATCCATCATACCTCACAGTTCCCAGAGAAAACCTTGTGCTCCAAGTGTGAAAAAATCCTTCTGATTATTTATACAAGTTATTTAGTGCTAACGCATCTAAGGGAAAATAGTTCTGTAAACATAATAAAGACCCAGGTTGAGTTAAAGTTCCTTCCTGTAACACAGTATTTCTGATATCTACTGGCAACAGATTTACTTGAATCTCTGAGACAAGGGGTGTCCATCCCACCTGAACCTGGCAAGCCACAGCCTCTGAGCTTCTTGGATGGTACTCTGCAGGTACCCTGACATAGTAGCTGTCAGATCCAGTTATTCATTATTTTCCCTTTCCAAAAAGGTGTCTAGTAAAGGTGCCTGTTAATTCCATTTGCAGTGCAGGCTCATGTATGGCCCTGTCTGTTTTAATCCATTCAGCGAAGGGCTCAGTAAACAGAGAATGGTAGAGATCAACAGAAGCCTTTTGCACCATAAAAGCAGGGAGAACAAGCAATAGGTCAAGGGAAAATTGTCCCGGGTTGCACCAGACAAGGTTTAGATTGGATATTAGGAAAAATACCTTCACTGAAAAGGCTGTCAAGAATTGGAACAGGCTGCCCAGGCAGGCAGGAGTCACCATCCCCTGCAGACATGTAGATGTGGTGCTTAGGGACATGGTTCAGTGGTGGACTTGGCAATACTGGGCTAATGCTTGGACTCAATGATCTCAGTCTCTTCCAATCCAAACAATTCAATGATTCCATGCTATATGTAACTGAAACACAACAGTAACATTCACAGCTGTGCCTTTATCAAGATCTTTTGCACTACAACAACAGATGTTCTTTGGAGCTCCACAGATAACACAATAGATGAGATGTTGGGAAATGCTTGCAACTTTCACAAATGATTAAAAACAAAAAGCAGGAAAAAGGGATTTCTTGTTTTATCGTTTTACATTTTGCAATGTAAATCCACTTGAAAAGGAAACCAAAACTTTCCTTACTCAAGTATTTCTTTTTCCAGTGAACTGATTCAGACATTTGCACTTAATTCAAGTAATTACTTTTACTTGAAATGTTTTGGCTAGTAAATAAGAATATATTTTTTGCTCTGAGTATTCTGAGGTGTGCTGAGTGCAGTATGTGAAGATGTAAGAAATGGCATTCTGACGAAGTGAAATTAGTCTACCGGTTAGCTGTTTGAAAGCTGTACCTATCTTTATCCTTATTTCCTTTCACTTTTCTCATACTATTAGCACTCCCTGCTGTCCAGGTCATGAAACCAGTTACTGCATGTCTCCTCTACTTATATTTCAAGCCTCCACAAGCCTTACAACTGTGTCTCTGAAGTTAGCCTTCTTCCCACTCAGTGGTGTCTCAGCACTAGCCTATGCACTAGTTCATTCAAGATCTTCCTCTTTCCTGATGAAATCTTTCCTCCCATCTTTGGTTCAATCTGTCCAAACTATTGCCATCAAAATATGGCAATATTTTCTCACCACACCAATAATGTTCCCTTCTAAAATCTTAACATAGACTTCCCCCATAATTCAAGCCTGCCTCTTGTCTTAGCTCCATTACTACTTGGTAAGCCCTTTCTTCTCCAGTGGTGGGAACACCCCTGTATGGGAAGCAGGGGACATTGTTATTAATTTCCTTCTTTAAATTTCTTCATCAAAAGCATACTCTGAATCTAAAACCTATGGTAGATGAAATTAATTTGAAATGAGTCACCTCTCTCATTTGTTTCAGGAAATGCCTGAAAATATTTACAAAACCTTCACCAAAAAACATTCATAATAAAGATTCAGCATGACTGGAATGAGATTTCTACTAAATGAATAGAGATGTCTTGAACTTTTATTATATCCCCTCAAATTTGGTCCCTGGTTGGACCAGCCCAGGGCTTACTCCTTATTGTGATAACTGGCAATAATAACCATCAGGCTTTTAGGTGACTTAGCAATAACTGAAACACATTGTATTATTCCTATTCCTTTCCACTGCCTCTTCCTTTTCCAGTTCTTACGGGAGCTGTGGTACTGATGCGGAAGGCCAGCATGTAGTCACAGTGGGTCTGCAGTTATCTGCATCCTCTGATGCCTTTATAAGGCTTGATTAATGCAAAGGGAGCACAGCAGATGAGCAAATGCAGTCTCCTGTTTTCTACTTCCTTTCTAGACCTGTGAGCTTCTGTGCAATATGCCAGCCAAGATCATAGTTAACTCATAAGCTTGAAGATACTGAGGCTGTCATTGCCAGCTTTACCAGATGCACATATTTCTCTTGAATTTATATGACAAGGTTACACTAAAATCCGACTTCTTATCATGCCAGATAAATGCATGTATTTCTGAGTCTTTCACCACTGAACCAGAAGTGGGAACCTGGGAACTCTGGAAGGAAATATATTTACCCTTTCTGAGTCATCTAATCATACAGGGCTCAAGGCTGCTGCTAAAACTTCCAGAAACATTTGGAAAGCAACCACAGAAATCAACACAAATTCAGGCTCTGACATGTGAAATGAGCACTGTCAGGAACAGATCTATAAGCTTGTACAGACAAGATTTCATGAGCAGTTTTCCAAAAATAACTTTAGTTTCTGCGGTCTGATCAGGTGAATTTTGTTCTTTCTCTTCCTTCACCTTTTCTTGGAAAGAGCTTTGTCAGTGTGACGATTCTCCCTAGCATTTAACCCAAGGCTCATTGTTCTACATGGCAGATCTCTTTCCCATTCTTCCTCAATGGAGAGCAGGGACGAATTTCATGAGGTCTGGACCTATATGAGTTTCAGAGAAATTTGTAACAGTTATATCTGTATTTGTCACATCTATGTTTCAGACCAGAGCAGTTTTTTGTTAATGTTGGCAACTCTGAACAAAGAAAGTCTTGAAGTTATTAAATGTAAACTATGTTAGCCAACTGTTGGGGAGGGAAATCCACACCACTTCAGTGGCATCTTGGAATAATTCAATTTTAATTGTTGAAATTAACATCAAAGATATTTTTGCTGTAGAGAAAACTGTCATAATTTAATTTCTTTTTCTGTGCTTATCTGCTCTACACTGTACTAGCTACAACCTAACTGTGCCATATGCATGTGTGCACCCCAATATATAGTTATTGACAGCATTTGGGATATCGGCTCCTGGGTGTTGTATGTAGTAAATACAGAGAAGCAGTTCATAGCCTTGCAAGGTCTTGCAGAATTCAGCTGGGGGGCTCTTGTGGCTCTAGTGCCCAGCGAAACAATGTAGTCTGGAAAAACCTTTCCTGTCTTACTCTACAAAATGACCTTTGAGGTTCAGCAGCAATCTTGGTAGACTGTCTGATTAAAAATATTTAAAGCTCACTTGTCCAAGCTGTTACCTCTATTGTGCACATCAGGTGAACTACTGAAAACAAAGAAAAATATCCCACATATATACATTTTTCTTTGTTTTCAGTAGTTCACCTGATGTGCACAATAGAGGTAACAGCTTGGACAAGTGAGCTTTAAATATTTTTAATCAGAAAAATATCCCACTGGCTTCAGAAACTACTAAGTCCTTATTCAACTCAGATGGGAAGGTTGATTTGCCTACAGATAAATGTAACTGATGCAAAACCCAGCAATAATCCAGCTGATCAAAGTCAATTTTGAGAAGATATGTTGTAACTATGAAGTAATGCTCCTAGATGTTACAGTTTATAATATGTTTACTGAAGCATTCTGAACACTTTAATTCAATTCCTAGTCTTTCCTTCAGTTAGATCTGAGGATTCAAAATGTTCTTTCTTAGAGCAGTGGTGTTTGCTGACTTTGTCACTGAATTCCTGAATTTGGCATTCCTGAATTTGGTTTCAGCCATTAAGTGCCGTAAAACAGCAACCTACTGCATGCTTTTCTGTGTTCTGCTATTCTCTCTCATTCCAGTACTTGTTTCACTGACAAACTCATTCATAGCTTGAAGCATATACTTTTTTTTTTAATCATATCTATCATTCAAATTCATGCCATGAAAGTCAGTGGCAAAAGATATAATTCTTAGATTGCTGCTGACTCTGCTACTTGCATGTAAGAAAAGCTGTGTAAATAACATAGTATTTCAGTTGCTAGGAATTCATAAAAAAATTACTCAGCTCAAAATTAAAGTGAAACCAGGGCAAGTGTATTGAAATCACTCTCTTCAAAAGCATTAAAGGAACAGTCTTCATTAAAAATACCTTCAAATAAAAGAAAATTGCATTATTTTAAATTCTGAACTTGTATCTTAGAGTATTTCTATTTTGTTTCCAATGCAAACTAAAACATCTCAGTTTTGCTAAGCCTGTATTTTTGTCCTTGCTACACACACACACAAAGCTAAACATTAAACCTGCATTAATTTTTCGCCTAGTTCTCCTTGTAGTGTTCCTAGAGGTAGGAGTTAAATGGACAGCAATGCCTCCTGATCTGTCAGGAGTAATGCTTTTTATAGGCCAGAGAGAAGTTCTGGTCTCCTGCATACCAAGAGTGTGACATAATCACTGAACTATCCAATCAGTTACTCTGCCAAGATCTTTCTGGCTCACTGAAGAGTAAATTAATCCTAAGTAAGAGTGCTTCAGCAGGAGAATAAGAGTGAGCACATACACATTACCATAGTCAGGTAGTAAGGTGCTTGCCAGGGGTATAAATAATGGATAAATAATTAATTTGCTTTTGGGAGCCTTCAAGGAGCTGCTTCTCTGGGTGCTTACACACACATGGTGGAGCAATGGCAGCAAGGGATTGAGCAAGAGAGCTTCTCCACAGAAGAAAAGCAAGTCCTAGGCAGGCTGCTCAGGGGCTCCAATGCGGTTTATTATGACCTTCAGAGACCTGGGATATCTGGGACTGGTACCAGTTTCTGAAGTCAGCACCAACCAGAAAGTCTTTCGGTGGGAGCTGCTCCAGAAGAAGATCTTAGGACACACTGTGGGCCACCAACACCACTTGGAAATGAAAGGCTACAACGAGTGAGTCTCTGGCACACCAACCAGATGATGTTACCAGGGCTCTCTCCTCCCCCTGCCCTCTCCTTTTCCCCCAGATTTACTTAGGAAAATTCAACAGCTCAAGTGAGAAAACAAAAGAGGTACAACATAGGGTGCAACAGATAATTCACTACTGACCTGAAATCTCTTGCCTCCAGTTCAAACTATTACAGTGAATTGCAAACCCACATATTGTCGTCTTTGTGATTTCTCACAGTCAACCCTTTCCTTTACCTTGTTTTTACATCTTTCCTTATTTCCACATATTGGTTTGATCTTTTCATTGATTACCTCTCTCCATTTTTTTCTGCTGTCTTTGGATATTCATTTTTCTATCCACTTTCACATCGATTATTTTGTTTCTGACTCTAATAAACATTCTACTTTCTTTCAATTTCTCTTTACATACTCCCTTTTTTAAAAGAAGTTTTCTCCCTTTGTTGCCTGTCCTCTTCATTTGTTATGTTTCTGTGATTCTCTGTTCCTATTATAAAACTAATTTACCCTCTGTCCCTGTTCTCTCTCACAAGGCATGTAACTCCACCAGCCACAGGTCTGCTGCTCTAATCCCCCCTTCTACCTGCTGACACCTCTCCCTTCCTCTCACTTTCATGTATCACTCTCTCTTCCTTTTTTTGGTCCTAGTTCCACGTCTCTCCTCTGACTTTTCCATTGTACTCCTGCCTTCTGCCCTCCCTGTTAGCAGAAACATTTACCTTTGGTGCTTTATCCCACAGATCTTGGCTTCCTTCACCTCCTTGATGCTCTTTAGATCAAGCCCACAGCTACCTTCTTAGCCAGTTCAGGGATGTTTGTCACGCATTATCAATGCGAGCCTCTGCAGTAATGTACCTGAAACTGCTCCTGTGTTTTCTATCAGTTGCCCCAGTGGGATATGCACAAACTTGGGAAGCACCAAGGATTCCTCTTCATAAAGCAACTATCTATCTAAGGCCACGGGTAGCCAGATTTTCAGGCCATTTTCTGCCTGGACCTCTGCTGTAAATGCCTTTTGCATTTGTTCAGTAACTAAAGATACAATATTCCCAGCAGTCCTCGTAATGAGAAGTCTATAGGAATGATCTTTTGAAAGCTCTTCAACTCCTTCCCTTGTAAGCAAACGGAAAAGCTCTATTTGCAAGATCAGAAATAAAATGAAAACCTCACTTTGGCTGTCTAAAAATAAAGCCATATAAAGCAAAGGCCTTGCTGAAGAGCAAACTCTTAAATTAAATACAATTTCCTTTGCCATAATAAACGTTTCAGATTCTGAAGTTGAATATATAATCAATTCCACTGGTTAAGCTGCAGGAACTTTGGAGGAACAGCTGTTCTTACAGACCTGAACTGCTTACTGCTCTCTCAGAAAAAAAAAAACAAACCAACAAAAAACAAACCAAAACCAACTCCCCCCACCAAACAAAAAACAAAACAAAACCCCCAAAACCAACCAAACCTGCTGAAGAAACAGAGTCTGGGATGTTTTTTAAGCCTTTCTTTTATTCATTACCAAGATCTGACTTTCTGCCTTCACTAGATCAACAACAGATTGTTCCTGTGGCCTTAATAGAAACCTGAAACTCCAGCCAGCTTTTAGAAGTTAACCTAGTGGGCCAGACCCTTGGCTGCCATTCTGGATGCTTCTGGTTACTTGGGTGGAATTTGGAGAATGGATGTAGTACTTAAATGGCAGCTCCAAATTATGGGTTTGTTTCAGCTAAAAAGCGAACTACATTTAGGAAATGGTTGTTGTAACATGGAAAAAACCCTCTGGAGTGTTTCCAAGCTATTCATTGTTTCCCTAGTATCTCTCCTTATGGAAATTCTCCAAGTACTATGATACTGATCTTGTAAACAATTATTGTCTTTCCTTAGCTCCTATAATAAAATTCATGCTAGATACTTTTTTTTAATCTCAGTGTGAATCTTGCATCCTTATGTCATTAAAATACCACAAATCCAACATTTTTTTCACTAAACAATAATTTTATGACACAGCACAAACACAAACTTTGGCCAAATGCTTGTTTTCAGAATATACTATTAGGAAAAAATTACATAGGACAAGAAGAGTATGTTTAATTTTTTTAATGTCTACGTATATGTAGATAAGGAACCTGGCAGAGATGCCCCTGTAAATACTCAAAATCATCAGACTTCTCTGGGGTTTCAGTACTGCTGACAGTGTTATTTATGCAGATATATACAAAATTATGCACAACTTGCAAGTTACATTTTTGTTAAAGAGAACTAAAAAATCTGCCACCCTTCTGAATACTTTTTAAGGTACCTTTCCTTCACTGAATCTGAGAAAAGATTCATTCTTGCTTCAGTGTAAATTTGCTGGTCTAAATTCAAACATCCTCCAGTCTTTTCATACTGCTGCACATAACGTTTCCCCAGAGAGGAGCTTACAGAGTAAATGCTTTGTATTTGCTCACAGTTCTCGAATATTTCCTTTGCTGCTGCCTCTGTGCCATGAATTTAGTGTCTTTGTAGAAGGTACAGCTGCCTCACCCAGAAGAAAATTACTCTAGTAGATGGACTTATATGTCCGCATTGCACACACACACGGGCATTCATGTTCCTTTAGGGAAGAGTTGGCAGGTTTTAACTCTTCCTACAAAACTGCAGCTCTGGATCCTTGTTCTAGAAACTCTGGAGCTTTAAAGAAACGTCTGTGGAGGTATTTCGTATGTGTGTCTTCTTGCATATCAAAATAGGATTTAGATGCTTTAGACCTCAGCTACACATTGCCTTTTATAGTGAAGCTCTACTTGCAGTACAAACTGACACATTAAATGCTTTAAATGCTTAAAGCACTGTGCAGATGTTAATTTAACTCATTACTTCTTTCACCACCACTTAGCTTAGCAGAAAGGAGTAACAGCAAAATGATACAGCTTGCCTAAAGTAAATAGTCACTGTCAAAGCCTAGACCAGAAGCAAGAATGAAGTTACAAAGGCTTTGGTGGTGCATATACATTTGAAAAGATTCTTAAAGGAAAAATAACAAAGTTTGCAAATGGCAAGTTTTGGTTCTAGTTCCAGTAACTAGCATTTCTTCATTAGCCACCATTACTTCAGCTTTAAATACTTTAGAAAAGGAAATAGGAGGGATAAACCAAATCTAAACATGTGTTTTTCACCTGACCCCCCAAACTGCAGTACACAAATGATGTACTTATTTCAACAGCATTTTTAGCGTTGCTTAAAGAATTAAAACAATTCCAAACACTTGGAAATCAAACACATTTGCAGTGTGTCACAGAATTCTCTCCTGACTTCCAGTACAGCTCAGGTGACCTGGTGACCCCTCATTTTGCGTCCATTTGTGGACTGTGACGATGTGGTTGCATGATATCTGAGCTGAGAAGCTTGCCCTTATTTGGGACAGGAATTACACCAAGGTAAAACAATCCAGGCAGCTGTTTACTATTACATTGTATCTTCATCACAAAGCTTTTTGCTTTGTGTTCTCAACCCTCCCCGTCTGTCTGTGCAGCAACTATACTGTTATTCTCACTTCCGGGTGGTGCTGGGCTTGGTGTAGATGGTGCTCCCTTCGCAGCACGTCAACATCTACTTAGTGTCTCAACATCTCAATGCCTTGGCCAAGATCTAACCACGTCTTGGCGTCCCTACAAGCTGCTGCTGCCCCCAGTGACTTCCACTGTCAGTGATTCTCCTCTCGCTGCTTGTGCTCTCCATCTCTCAGAACGGATCCTTGTGGATTCAGGGTAATGCAGAGTGATGGCTAGTTTCAGGAAGTCAACCACGGGTGCACGGATAACGCCTTCATTTAGTTCTACCCCAATTTACTCGGTTAACAGTGTGTTATGCTTAATCTGTGCCTAAGGAAGTAGTTGACTGCTATGAAGCCATTCATGGCAGACGGCTGCTAAAGAGCGGGCAGGTTCCGGTACGCTTTTGTGCTAAGCACGGCTGTTGTTCCGTCCCGGCGTGGCCGCCAGCTGCGGAGCGCCTGCGGAAACCGCCGCCTCAGGCCACCGGCCCCTCAGGGAGAGCCGCTCCCGCGCTGAACTCTTGCCTCCTAAGCGCGGCGGCGCGGCCTCGCCCGCAACAGCTCTCGGCCCAGCCCTAGCGGGGTAACTGATGCAGCGCGAGCACTCGATGGGCCTGCAGCAGCGGGCGGTCGAGCCCAGACCACCTACAGCCCTGCTACCACCGCCCCAGCCTCTACCCTGCGCACGCGCGCTGTCCCCTCCCCGCGCCCGCTGCCAGGGGGCCGTGACGCGCCGGGACGGGGATGTGGGGGAAAGGGTTGGGGCGTGGCGCGAATAGCTTCTGGCGGCGGCCTTCCACACCCCGCCTCCACGGCCGCGCTATTCCCGCAAGCCGCGCGAGCGCGTGCCCGGCAGGCAGCTGTCCCCTCAGCCTATCTCCCCCTCCCCAGCTTTCCTCGGGCGGTGTGTGACGTCAGGCGGCCGCCGAGGCGCGGAGTGCAGGTGCATCCGTTTCCTCGGCCAGGGGCGCTTCTCGCCGCCGCTGTCCCCGGGGCGCAGGGCCCAGTCCCGCTCCAGTCCCCTCCCGCAGTGTGGGAGTCGCTCATCGCAGCGTCCAGGACGGGTATGGGAAAAAAGCCGCGACGGGGCGGCCGCGGCCTGCGTCGCTAGGGGGAGGCACGGCACAGGGAGACCGGAATGAGGCGCGGCGGCCCCGCGGGCGAGCGGTCCCCGAGGGGGTTGGTGGTGGAAGGAGCGGATGGTGGAGGCACCCCTCGGCCGGCAGCGCCGAGCCCCCTGTCCCGGTTTTACTTTCCTTTTGGGGGCCACCTTCCCCGGCGAGCTTGAGGGAGAGGCTTATTGGTGTGCCTGTGTCTGTCCGCACAGGGCGCGGGGAGGACGCGCCAGCTTGCGGACAGGAGTCCGCGGAGACAGCCCCGTCACGGGAGGAGGAGGAGGCGGCGACAAAGAAGAGGAGGAGAAGCCGGCGCGGAGCCTCGCCTCTCTTCGTCTCGCACCCTCTTCGCTGTTGCCATTTGGTCGTCCCTGGCCGCCGGAGATACCGGCGGCCGCCCGTCCTCATGATGGCCTCAACCGCCACCTGCACCCGGTTCAGTGACGAGTACCAGCTCTTCGAGGAGCTCGGGAAGTAAGGACGGAACCCGCCGGACAAGTCCCGCTGCTGTCGGGACGGCGTGAGGCAGCAGGCTCGGGGCGGGACGGGGGGGAAGGCGCGGCGCCTTTGGCTGTGAGGCCCCGGTGCGTGAGCCGCCCTCGGGGTTGTCGCGGCCGGGAGACGCCTTACTGGTGCTGAAAGCCGGTCGGGGTGCCTCGCTGCTGGGCCACACCGCGGGGAGCGCCTCGGCGCCAGCCTTTACACACACCCTACCCCTCCCCCCAAACAGCGTCCAGGCTTTATGTGCCCGGGATGGGGGACCCGGGCGGTTAGGGGTGCCCCTTGGCGTCGGGGCGAGAGGGGCCAGGGCCGGCTGCTTTTTTAGCCGCGATCGCCATGTTGGCGGCCCGGGGGGAGCAGGCGGGAGGGCGGCGGTGTCACCGGGGATAAGGTGTTGGAACGGTGCTGGGGCTTCCGCTGCTCAGTCCCCTTGGTGTGTACCGGTCTGGAGGTAGCGAAAAGATGCCTTGCTCCCTGCCCAGCAAGCAGCCAGGACGGCTTGCACCCACCTTTCTGACGGGAGTAATCTTAAGTCTGAAAACATGTATTTTTTTATATATATATTTTTTTTTTTTTAATTTTGCCGACATCACACCTCACGCTGAAAGCCTTTAAAACCCTCGCGCCGGTAATGGCAGTGAACCAGTTCAGTTGGACTGACACTTTGTCCACTTCTTGGTTTCCAGAGGGGCATTCTCTGTCGTGAGGAGGTGTATGAAAATCACCACCGGACAAGAGTACGCTGCCAAAATTATCAACACCAAAAAGCTTTCAGCTCGGGGTGGGTATATTCTAACCTAGTGTTTACAGTGTCTTCTCCCTGTTTTTTGCATTTTTTGTGGTAGGCATTTAAAAAAGTAATAAAAATGGTTAAAGGATTTAATAAATCTCTTAATGCATTTTTATTTTCTTGGTTTTGGTTGGGTTTTGTTTGGTTGCGTTTTTTTCCTTTTTTTTTTTTCTATGTTAAATGTTTTGTGGATCGACTGGAGGTTTGAGGCAGCTGTAAAGCATTTCAAGAAAAGATGTACAGGTACTAAAAGAATTTTACATTTTTCATTTTTTATTCCTCTAAATAACAGTGAATATCAGCTTGCAAGCGTTTTGCAAGCTGATTTTTTTTTTTTTTTTTAAGCTTGGGAAATAATGTTTATAGCTTTTATTTAAAATATTATACAGTTACTGAATTGTGTGTTGCCATTGCATTTAAACATGAAGAAGGCCTATCTAACTAAGAGTACATGACAT